GAAAGATTACGAACATCACTTTTATTATATTAAAATGGGGATATCAATACCTATTTTGATCTGTTGTTGTAAGACATACAGACTGGGTGTGCATGAAGCTTATAGTACCTATTTCAAAGTAGATGCTTAACACATGTTGCTACTATACAGATCTCAGAACCCTATGCTGTTAAGAATCCACCTGAAGTTATTATTTAAAAATAAAATAAGGCATACAGTTCCCAAAGCCTTTTGTGGATATTGTGATTAAGTCTGGGAATAGAGCTGATAATATCTTTTCTTTTTTAAAATTGCTTTTATTGACTACCGTGGGTAATTCTTAAAAATGTGAAAACCTATAACACAGCATCCAATACAACTTAATTCTGTTAGGAAGGGAGGTCCCCAGAACCACTGAGACCAAACCTATATGATCATGGGTTCTATCTGCTTCTAACGCATTTTTCTCTATGCTATAATATTATTCTTATCTTGCCGCAGTCCGGCTGCAGCAAAATAACCGGGGGGGGGGGGGGGGGGACGAACAACTTGTGTACATTGATACAGCAGGAGTGGGAGCCGTTTATTGTAGGACAGGAGGGATATATATACATTCCACACAGCTTATCTTGATTAACATAAACTAGATACAGCAGTCAACCAATAAGGAATCTCCACACTGAATGGCTCGCTGGTGTTACTTCACATACCACTCCCTCTGGCAAAATGCCAGGCGCCATCCTGACTTGTTTACCGACCCTAACATTATCTTGCAACCCACTTTACACATACAAACCTTTAAAAACAGAATTTATCTATTTTTAACTTGGCCTGTATGTTTATTTTTCACCTTTCAAAAATGCAAGATGCTGTTCTTCACTGTTTCCATTTTCAGGTACAAGCCCTCCATCTGTTCCATTTTTTAGTAGAAAAGGTGGGGGGGAGCATCTTTAGTTGCTTCTTTATCTCTTCCTAACTGATTTTCTAACTCCAGTCTTGCTCATCTCTCAATTGCAAAGTAATCCTTCTAAAATATAGATCTCCTTGGAAATCTTTAGTGTTCTCTTATAATCTTCAGAATAAAATTAAACTTTTCATGGAAGCATTTGGTGAGTTGATCTTATTCTTTTCACTCTACAGGTTCTCCTCCTGCATTCTTCCTTTCTTACCTTTCTCTCCACATCTCTTGTCACTTCTCAAAATGCTTTATAGTCTCAAACACTCTGCAGTTATTGTCTGCTAATAGTTTGTATCACTCTAAAATTCATATGTTGAAATCCTAAACTCCAAGGTGAGGCCATTGAGAGATGGGGCCTTTGGTAGATGATTGGATTCAAGTATAGAGCCCTTGTGAATGGGAATAGTGCCCTAATAGAGGTCCTAGAAAGCTTCCTTGTTCATCCTGCCAAGTGAGGACACAGCAAGAAGGTGCTGTGAGGAAAGGGTTCCTACCAGACACTGAGTCTGAAGGCGACATGTTTGTGGAAGCCCTGGCCTCCAAAATCTGAGAAATAAATATTTGCTTATAAGCTATGCAGCTTATGACATTTTTAAATAGCAGTGTGCATGGCTAAATCCCTGTGTTTTCATTTTTGTTGTTGTTTGTTATTACTTCAATCACCTCCTACTGGGCGGTGCAGAGCCTCCTTCAAGAATTTGAACAAAACTTGCATCTTCCTGGAAATTTTTCTGAGTCTTTTTTTTTTCAGTTGTAGATGGACTCAATACCTTTATTTATTTATTTTTATGTGGTGCTGAGGATTGAACCCAGTGCCTCACGTATGTGAGGCATATGCTTTACCACTGAGCCACAACCCCAGCCCTTCCGAGTCCTCTTTACTCATATTTACAAACCTTTCTATGATCTCTGTCTCTCTTTTTTTAACCATAGCTCTGATCATCTATATCCTGAGCATCAATTTTCTAGTTTATCTTCTTCCAAACTGGGAAAAACTTGAGGTAAAGAATTATATCTTAATCATCTTTATTTTCTCAGTTGATGGAGAAATTTCTGGCATAAGGAAGGCATTCTCTAAGTACTTGCTGATGAATGAACAAGGAGAAAAAGTACTGTTTCTTATATGAACATACACTTCACACTTAACAACTAGGCATAGTAATATTTATGATGATTAATTCCTTATCCTAACTACAATTACACAGTTTTATCCTAATTTCAGACACATTCTGAAAGTGGTGTAGGATATTTCCCAGGGGATGTAATTAAGAGTAAAGAATATCTTTAAAATATTCCATAAAAAAATAGGTTATTATCACTCTCATCCACGTAAATTTTGGAAATAAGTGGAAATGTTTCAGAGATTATTCCTAGCTCTATTCTAGCAGATGTAGGGAGGACAGCCTGGATTTCATCTGCCCCACTTAGTGCTTTACTTCATGGATCATTCGATCACAAGTGACAACTTGCAGTTAATTATTTCTGCCTGTCACTAATGTGAGGAGACAGACTCTGTCAGTAAAAACTGGCTCTGGGGAAATGATTCAGAAAGCAAATATCATAACTTTTTATATAAGTATCCAGGCAGTGTGCTTTTATTGATTTTTACTGATGAACAAAATTGCTAATTTGTATAGTCATTGTCCTTTGTATGTAATGAGAACAATCTGTAGAACCTGGTGATTTGCATGTCATTTCCTTGAGGAAAATATCTCAACAGAATAACAAAGTGGTGGTGAATTTGCAATGTATTGCTTAAAGTCATTTTCAGGAAAGTCTTTTTTTTCATTCCCTTTAACTTTTTTATGTTTCTACATTTTTTATTGGCACATTGTAATTGTACACAATGCTGAGATTTGTTGTAATATATTTGTATATTCAACACAATATAATGATACAAATTGGCCAGTACCATGTCCCAGTACCTCTCCCCTCCCTCTGGGCCTCCCATCCCCTGTTCCCTTTATTCTACTAATCTTGAAATGTAATTTATCCTCTAGAAGCAAACAGGAGTTTCATTAGACAGTATTCATCATACCATGGACTTCAGCATAGCAAGTCTTTTGATCTATTCAAAAAGGCCTACACTAGAGTGCATCATAATTACACACAACCTCACTTATTGCATGAATCCATTTTATAGACAAGTATTTTTTGAGAAGACTTTCATTTAGTAGAATGTGTTTCCTCATGAGAGTAGGGACAGAATCTGTCTCATTTTCTAATGTCCTAAGAGTGCTATAGTGCTAAGGTAGCATGCATGTGCATGCACGCAAACATACACAGACACACACAAACACACACACATTAATTGGAGAAAAAATGAATTCAATCTATGATGGCTAGTGTCAAGGATAAAGAAGAACAATTAAAACATTTATTAGTGTTCTCTGTGTAAATTTCAACTAAAGATAATAACTAAAATATTAATGGAACATGTTATGAATTAATAATGGAATAACAATGTCAATGATTATTAATGATCATCAAAAACTAACAAGTTTACATTGCACAAAAGTTTGTGCATTGGAGTTTTATATTAGATTGTTAAGATTAGAAAACACTCTCCCAGGTACTTCTTATTAAGATAAAAACCTTACTTTTTAATTTTATTTCTTGTGCATATGTACCCAGAAATTGGAGTGCTGAATCATATGGTAGTTCTATTTTTAATTTTTTGAAGAGCTTCCATACTGTTTGCCTTAATGGCTTCACTAATTAACATTTCTACCAATACTGTTCCAGGACACCCTTTTCTTTGCATTCTTATCTCAACAACTCTTGTTATCCAGTATCTGTTTTAATAGGTGATTTTTCATTATAGTTTTGATTTTTCATTATAGTTTTGTTTCTCCCATGATTTGTGACATTGAGCACTTTTTCATATACATGTTGGGCCATTTTGTTTTCTTGGGAAAAATGTTATTTTGGATCATTGCCCATTTTTTAATTCAGGATATTCACAATAGCCAAGATATAGAATCAACCTGTTTCTGTTTTTAATGGATGAATGGATATATTGGATATTAATCCCTTTTTTATTTGCTGTTGTTGTTGTCCTAGGGACTGAACTCAGGACCTCAAGCATGCCCTTTACTAATGATTCATATCCTCAGCTTGGATAGTAACTCAATATAGTTTGCAAATACTGACTCCCATCTAGTGGGGTTGCCTTTTCATTGTTTAATCATTTCCTTCGCTGTACAGGAAATACATTTTTAATTTTTATACTCCTTTTGGTTTATTTTGCTTTGGTTGCCTGTGCTTTTGGTGTCATGTCCAAAAATCATGGTCCAATATCATGGAGTTCCCTTCCTATATTTTCTTCTAAGAGTGCTATAATTTCAGTTTTAGTTTTTAAATATGTAATCCACTTTGAGTTTTATGTATATTCCTAAGGAAATAAAAGTATTATCTCAAAGAGGTATGTTTATTATTCACGATAGCCAAGATATAGAATCAACCTAAGAATCTGTCATTAATAAATGAATGGAGAAAGAAACATGATGTATATAGACAATGGAATATTATTCAGTCTTTAAAAAATAAAGAAGAAAAGCCTGCTATGTGCAGCAACTTGAATGAATCTGGAAGATATTATACCTAGTGAAATAAGTCAGACACAGAAAAACAATACTGGATGGTGTCACTTAAAATTGGAAGGTTAAATTTCTTTTTTAATACACAAAACAAAAAAGAGAAGTGCTTGGCAGGACCTGGTAAGGGGACAGGTTGGAGGAAATGAAAAGATGTTGGTCAAAGGGCATGAACTTTCAGTTATATGACAAGTAAGTTCTGCAGATATAACAGTGTACCACTTGGTTCTTATAGTTAATAATAATGTACTGTATTGAAACTTATAAGAGAATAGAATTTAAGCATGTCTCACCATAAAAAAAGGTAACTATGTAAAGTGACAAATATGTTAATTAGCTTGATTGTTGAAATCATTTCACAATGTATAATACATCAAAACATAACATTGTACACTTTGAATATATACTACCTATTTTTTATTTGTCAATTATACCTCATTAAAGCAGACAAAAGAGCTCGATTTAGACACATGCAATTTAGCTTTTTAATGAAAAGAAGGATTAATTTATTTGTTCCTCTCTTCGGGGGCTAGTCAACACAGCCTGCAGTTCAAAAAAAAGGAAAAATATGCTTTACATAAAGAGCTATCAACTGATAAGATCATTTCCTTACTAATTCCAAAAGACATTTTTAATTGAATAGCTTGGGTGACTTAAGACCTCTTCTTTCCCACACAAGTAGATCAACTTTAACATTTCGAATATCCAACTTTTCCAAGCTTGTTAGGCTGCAGTGGTCCCTCATCACTGTTGGCATTGTCAGGGATTGGACAGAAGTCCAGCAAAGCTGCACGGTAATTAGGCAAAGGCATGAGTGTCCTTCTTACAGTTTCTGCACACACAGCTGTAGCAGTGTCACCAGCTCCCTCAGGAACACAGAGGGCAGGAGTGAGGCATTGTACATCTTAAATGTTAACACTTTCAACACCCTTTAAGATGACATGAAGGGACTGGATGTTCATTTCCCCCCAATTTCATTTCATCCATAATCGCTCTCATCAGCAGTGTGCACAGAGGAGGCTGTCATAGTCTAGATTCACAAAGTAAAGGGTATTCTTTGTTCATTCTTAAATTAAGGCTTTTTCACTCATATATTCGGAAAGAAAAAAACAAAATCTAAAATTTTATTATAGTCGAAGGCTGAATAGTACTTATTAATCAGAACTTTCAGAACTGAAAAGAATAAAATCCAATCTCAAACTAGATTCAGGTAAAAGAGGGATATTGCTTCACCTGATAAAATTATGAACAGGGCAACAAAGAAATTGTTTCCAGCCCGAGGGAATGACTGGAACAAGGAGTTTCATATCTCAGATATGTGCTCTCAAGATCTCTTTCTTTCCTAGGTCTCCCTGCCTCTCTTTCATTTTCAGTTTTAAATCAGTATACTCCCTAAAGTAAAGGATGTGCCCACTGGGAGCTAGGGACCGACTTCATATAGCTTTGCAACCGGAGGGGACAGATTCTATCCCAGTTCCACTTGGGAAATTCAAAGGAAAAAGGAAAGAGCAAAAGAACAAGGGTAGTCTCAAACTAGTCACAAAAAAACCTTGGACTACAGCAAATATTGACAAATACGAAAATAAATGTTAAAATCATGCTTCTATTCCAAGGGATAATCTTTTGCCAACTTACAGTCCCATGTGCTACAAGTCAGCCTTAAGGAAATTATTTGCAAAATGCACAGAAAGACACTCACTTTCCTTAATTTAATAAAAATTAATGACTTCATGAAGGAACAATATATTATTTTTTAAAAAAATTAATAAAGAGATAATAATGTGAAAAAAGAGTTCCTATAAATTTGCTCAAAGTTGGAAAACTGCTAGAGAGCTTAATTATTGGGACCAATCTCAGGTCTCCCTCCTTGGCCCTTCTCTGTCATACACACCTGTTCTTCATTCTTCAGTCTATGGAGAAGCATTAGCAAGTTCCAGGGATGCAGAGGCCTAATGGTAGAGAAAAATAAGTAATATTAATCACGTGGAAGCCTAATAAACAAATAAAATCAGAAAAAAAAACTGAGAATGGCAGAAAAGTCCTGAGAGATTCTGAAATTTCATCATCCCAGATTCTCCACTAATCATTAAGCATTACATACCCAGGGACAAAATGTGACTGGACAGATAATTGATTCATAGCTATCTTATTGCTTTAAAAAAATCTCTCTTCAGGTTTGGGAATATTTTTATCTGGTCAGTTTTAACCTTCCCATGTTCTTTCCCTTAAAGAGATTATAAAGATAATAAATAGAAAATTAATGTAGATATCTTTGATAATTGATGAATAGCCTGGATCATTGTAGATAATCCTTTTATCTAAGCAGAAGATAGGATTCCTGCAAGATAAACACCCGGAATCTTTCTCAGGTCATCTTTTAACTAGGTTCCCATGGTCATGGACATTCAGGTATCTGTTTATTATGCTGATTTAATTTCCTTTGATTCTCTCTCTCTCTCTCTCTCTCTCTCTCTCTCTCTCTCTCTCTAAATATGAATATATTTAGAGAGAGAGAGACACACACACAGGCACATGCACACACAAATAGGAGTGTGATAATTGGATCATAGTGTAGATCTATTTTTAGTTTCTAGAACAAATTTCACAAGGCTTTTCCATAATGACTGTACTAGTTTACATTCCCATGAACATTGTATAAGAGTTCAATTTTCTTGCCAGCATTTGTTTGGTTGGTTTTTGTCTTTTTTATAGTAGCCATTCAAACTGGAGTGAGAAGATATCTCATTGTAGTTTTGAATTGCATTTTCCTGATAGCAAACCTTTTCATATATTTGTTTATTTATTTTCCCATTTAGAAAATGAGTTTTTTCTTTTGCTTTTTCTCTTTCCACATTTTTTATTGGTGCATTATAGTTGTATATAAAGGTGTAATTTCTTCTTATGTATTCATACATGCATGCAGTAGAACAATATAATTTGGCCAATATCACTCCTCAGCACTTCCTTCCTCCCTCCTTGCCCTCCCACTCCCTGGTACCTTACCTCTACTGATCTTCCCTTAGTTTTCATGAGATCTCCACCTATCCACATTTTCTTTTCTTTTCTCCTTTCTAGCTCCCACATATGAGAAAAAAAACATAGGACCCTTCACCTTCAGTGTTTGGTCTATTTTGCTTAACAATGATCTCAAGTAACATCCATTTTCCTGCAAATGTCATAGTTTCATTTTTCTTTGTAGCTGAATAAAACTCCATTGTGTTTATATATACCACATTTTATATGTTCATTCATCTATTGATGGACAATTAGGCTGGTTTCCTAGTTTGGCTGTTGTTAGTTGTACTGCTATAAACATGGATATACATGTATCACTACAGTATGATGACTTTAATTCTTTAGAATAAGTACCTAGGAGTGATATAACTGGGTCACTCCATACTGATCTCCATATTGCTTGTACTAATTTATAGTTCTACCAACAGTATATAAGTGTTTCTTTTCCTCCATAACCTCTCTGGCATGTATTATTGTTTGTATTCTTGGTGGCTACCATTCTGGCAGGTGGGAGATGAAATCTCAGTATAGTTTAAGTTTTCATTTCCCTAATTGCTAAGATGTTTAACATTTTTTTCATATATTTGTTGGCCATTTGTATTTCTTCTTTTGAGAAGTGTTTTTTAATCATTTGCCCATATATTAATTGGGTTATTTGATCTTTAGGTGTTAATCTTTTTGAGTTCTTTTCATATTCTGGATATTATTCCTCTGTCAGAAGAGTAGCTAACAAAGATTTTCTCCCATTATGTAAGTTCTCTCTTTACATTCCTAATTGTTTCCTTTGCTGTGCAGAAGATTTTTAATTTGATGCCATCCTGTTTACTAACACTTGGCATTATTTCCTGACCTTTAGGGGTCCTATTGAGTAAGTCATTGCCTCAGCTTATATGCTGGAGTACTGATCCAATATCATATACTTGTTGACCATTTGTATGGCTCCTTTTAAGAAATATGTATATAGATTATTTGCCCACTTTTATATTGAACTACTAGAGTTTTATGTTGCTGTCCTTGTTGTTAATATTAAGTTTTTTGAATTATATATCCTGGATACTAATCCTTTATCAGATGAATGATTTGCAAGTATTTTCTCCCATCTTGTTTCTTTACTCTGTTTCTTGTCTCTTTTGCTGTGCAGAAATTGCTTATTTTTATATAATCCCATTTTTCTACCTTTGTTTAGTTTTCTGTGCCTTGGGAATTTTAATTTTTCTGCTTGGGGGAGTATTTGACAAAGATTGCCAGCTGTCCCCAGTATAGGCTTTCCTTCTTCAGATGAGAATAGACTCAAATATTTTATCTGGGCACTGGTCAGTGAGATAAAGACAAACATGTTCTAGCTCTTTTGGCAGCTGGAGTTGTCTCATGACTTTGTGGCTAACGGGATATGAGCAGTATTGATGTTTGCAATATCTGGGTTGTGCCCATGGGAGAAAGAGGAGGGGTGCTTTCTACTTGGTAGTTGGAATAAAGACTTCTTGGAAAAAACTGAAGCAGCCATTGACACACACAGAATAGAAGGTGCATGTTAGAAGTATCAGAATCATAAACCAGAAGGACACTGGTGCTCACCACCACCCCAGGGTGCTGCTATATCATCTTTGATATGTTTGTGCATAGACTGCCATGTGAGGGAGAATTTCCCATATTGTCTAATTCATGACTTTTTGAGAGCTGTTCACAACTTTATTGTGACAAACATAAAGCATTAGAATTTTTTAAGCCATGAGAATTCTACATGCATGTGTATATGTATATATTAGATGTAAAGTAAAGAAATCAGTTTTAATAAATGAGTAGAACTTTTATCCCCTTTTCTCTTATTTAATACTTTTAACTTTCCTGAGTAGTTAACACTCAAAAGTCATTTCTTCTGGAAACTACTGTAATTTTTCTTCTTAAATGAGTAATTTTTCTCTCTTGTCTCTTCTTCTATTATCCCTAAGCATATGAATTTCTTGAAGTCTTGTCCTTGAATATCTTCTCATTAAAAAGTCTCTCCTTGAATCTTTACCTACTCCCATGGTTTCAAACATTATTATTGCTTATGCAAATATGAATCTGAAATATAGCTTCCCAGTCACAACCACTGTCCTAAGCTTTAGATCATTAACTGTCATCTTTCCCTTTCTACCACAAGGTGCTGGCAGCGTCCTGTGTTCCCCAGGTCCATCCTCATATTCATTGTTTTCTTTCCAGGTTCTTCTTATATCCCAGTTTGTATTCATGGTCCCAACAATCTGTATGGTGCCAAGATTAAAAAAAAAAAAAACATGATGTTATCTCACTCTCTTCCTTTTCTTTTTTACAGCCAGATAGTGGTCAAATCCTGTAGAATCTATCTCTGGATGATTTCTCTTCATCTCATTGTACACTACTAATATCCTAATTCCATTTTCAACATATGCTAGATCCTTGACTACATATAATTTTTTTTTTTTTTGCAAGGGATTCTACCACCTCAGCTTCCTCTAAGTCTACTACAGAAGTTGACAAATGGTTCTATAGTATTTTTGGCTCCAGGCTATCCAGCCTCTGTTGCACAACTCAGTTCGGCCATTGTAGCATGAAAGTTGCAATATACTATCCTAGCTTTAGATCATTCACTGTCTGCTTGCCCTCTCTACCACAAGGTGATACCAGCATCTTATGTTTCACATGTTCACTCCCATATCCATTATCCTCCCTCCAGATTCTCTTTATATCGCAGTTTTAATTAATGGTCCCAACATTCTGTAAATGCTTATACTTAAAACTCTTATGTCATCTCACTCTCTTCTTTTTTATTCCTGACACCCAGTCAGTTAAGTGAGTGGATGTGGTTGTATGTCAAAAGGCTTTATGTATAGGAATGGCAGCAGACTAGATTAATCTAGAAGCTATGGTTTGCCGTCCACTGTTCTAGACCATGGTGTAAAACATTTAATAGGAATGCAATTTACTGGTCTTCGAGTAATTTCTGATTTAGACAAGGAGGGAAGAAAATCACAAGATAGCAGGTAACTATATGACCATGGTAAAGTTTGGGTGTACTATTCTATTCAATATCAAGAAAATATGACCAGGCCATGGTAACGATTGGGGTACTAGTCAATATCAAGAATACTACTATGGTTTGAATTAGAGAAGTGAGACACTTTGATTATCATTACAATGGATCATAGAGGGATGAGTCAGGCAGTTGGGAGACCAAGTAGGAGCATATAGTATTAGTTCAGTAAGAAAATGACTATGTTTGAAATGAACTCATCATAAGTGATTGCAGTAGAGATGAAAGGAAACAGGTTCAATGCACATTTTGTTGCCAGAATTAATAGAACATAGTTCTATTAATTTGAATGCAGGAGGCAAAGGAAGGAAAATAAATATAAGAATAACTACTAGGTTTTTGACTTGAGTAATGGGAAAATGATTTTTACTAAGCTGGAGAAGAATTGGGGAGGATAGGTTTGAAGAAGCATGTATAGGAGGCACAGGGGAAATAAAAAGATTCTTTAGACCATGTCATGGCAAACAGTGCTGAGATAAGAAAAAAGATGTAAATGTAAGGGAAGGAAGTAATTGACGGCCTTGACAAAAGTGATTTTAGCAGAATAGTTAGTTCTGAAGTCCCATTATAGTGGGCAAAGAAAAGAATGAAAATAAGAAAGTACAAGAAGAAATTATAGATACATTTTTTGAGAATTACTGCTTTAACTATTTGTTGTAGTACCTAACAAATCAACATGTGTGAGACTGTTAATAGCATTGATTAGTTGCTATTCATAATATTATTGCTTTAAAAAACAGGAAGTATTTAAGAATACATGACCATGTAGCTCCACATCATATGCAACCACAAAAAAAATGGGAAGTTATACTCCATGTATGTATGATATGTCAAAATACATTCTACTAAACTAAAAAGAAGAATCTTTTAAAAAAAATTAAA